TTTCAAGTTAGTAAACATTCAAGCAGACTATGAGTTTGTAACGCCAATGCCAACCCTTATTTGTTGGTATCGTTAGGAACTGAAAAGTTTGAGGACGCTATACGAGCGTAACGCCAAGGTTGACCCGTAGATTGATGTTTCGTTTCGTTGTAGACCTTGAAAACTTGAACACGATCAGTTTGTACCGCTAACAACCACCATTGAATTTTGGTAGCTTAGCATTGCAGGGTTTGCAACATTTGAAGGACACTATTTGTTCGTAGCGCCAAGGTCCACCCGTGAGTTTTGGTATCTTCGTTTGTGAAGTTTGTACAAGTTTGTAGCGCCAATGGCCGCAGTTTGTAACGCCAACGTCGAAACCCCCTTTGTATCTTTGTATTGTGACATTGTAAACTTTATGGACCCTATAGGATTGTAACGCCAACGTCCTACCTTTCAGTTTTGGATTTCTGTGGTGCAGACAGTGTAAACTTTCAGAACACTATCTGTTTGTATCGCAAACGTCCACCTTTCAATCCTTGCTTCAAACACCAACGTCCACCCTTCGTTTTTTGTATCTTTATTGCAGAGTTTTGGAAACTTGAATGACACTGTACGTTTGTAAAGCCAGTGGCCACCCTCAAATCTACGTACTTTGTTGTTGTAAACCTTGTCAAACTTTAGCGACACTATAAGTTTGCAACGCCAACGTCCACCATTACAGTGCTGTTTTCTTGTATTGTGAACTTCGTAGACCTGAAGGACCCTATAAGTTTGTATCGCCAACATCCACCTTTAAATTTTCGGATTTTGGTGTTGCAAACCTCGTAAACTCGTAAACTTTATGGACACCTTAAGTTTGTAACGCCAACGTCCACCCTAAATTTCTGTAGCCTTGTGTTGTAGAGTTTGTAACTGTTAAGGAAACTACAAGTTGCAGTTTCGGTGCACGTGCCAGGAAGACCGAGACGAGGAGTTCTACGTCACTCCTATCAAATTGGGCAAAAAGGGCAAGACCAAGAACAAAGGCCGGGAAGCTAGCCGTGTTACAGAGCGGATGTACTTGGACAGGTCAGCCGTAGGCCCGCACCCCTGAACATTGCACTAGGTCGCCGCTCTAATGCGAGCAAGTGGAACTGCCCCAAGCCCCACTAGCCCAGCTATGCAATGTACTGCAACAATGTCACGCCACATCTTGTATTCTAATCGATATGCATGTTTGTTGCTATGTGTTGAACGGAGTGTGTGGCACCAGTAGCAGAATAGAGGACAGAGGAGTTGACGAGTCGAACGACTACACGTATATGCACCTGCAACACTACAGCTATCCAGTTTTGTTAACATAAGGCATCAAACCGCCTCGTTCGGAATGTCCTGTAGCTGGCCGCATTTCACGACTCGCTTCAATTCTCTAACCGACAAACCGCACATCTTGAAAGGAGAGCTCTTCTTGCTGTTTCTTCGGGATATAGGAGTATCCATCGCATGTCACCGTCAGGTGGCGATGCAAGGCCCGAAAAAATCACCCACAATGCCGAGACAATCCGCCCCACGGCACAATGTCAAGATTCCGATACTATATTTGGGTGCAAGGGTTCTTGGGGTATCAGAGCATTGATTCTGCGAAGCTCTGAGTCCTGAAAGTCGTATGACTATGTTATCTCATCGTGTGCGCATCTGCTTTCGTTGCTTGCAGTTTATTTATGGAAATGGAGAGGAGCTGGGGGTTTTTGAACTGCGTTACCCCTGCACATGATAATCCTTGAGTGGTTGGCATTAGATCTGCTTCCATCCTAAACATCGACGTCAATGCCAGATCCCATACGGCACGATGGGCAAGGTAGACAGTGCTTCGAATATGTGATAAAACGCTAGATGGCGAGGTGCCCTATAACAACTGCAGCTGTATTTCTGAGGCCTCTTTCACCAGCTGAAGCTCGACGCACCGGTCACAATGGAACAGGCCAGAGCTTTGAGTCTTAGAATCTGAATATTGCAAGTATGAATATCAGTAAGCGGTCCGCTTATGATCAGTGGTGACATGTTTATTGCGACTAAGTGCAGTGTTAATTAATTGCTACTTACCTCTTCTGACTGTTTAATCGTGTACTGTGATGCATCACTACTTGTGCTATTGATGTTGCGAAATGTCTTATCTGGCTGCAGGGGTGACAGGATGTATGGAAGGTTTACTCTGGGGTCACTCATAATGAGGACCTGTAGGCTTAGACTTACTTTCGTGGGGTCTGACCTGCTGACTTTCAGGTACCAGTCTTGCTGGAAGAGTTGGAGATCAGAAGCCATTTGGCTGCGATGTGCGTAGAGTTTGTGGCATCGCTTCGTTTCCACATGTTGAACTCCTGATCGCTCTCAGATTCTCTGCAGACTGTGCCCGCTGTTTTGCAAGCCGAAACATCTTTATTTGTGGTATCTGTAGCTGTTTCGTCTGTCTGCTCTGCAAATGAGAGACCTGGGTGCTTCACGAGCTCAGAGCAGGCTGAAGGAATGAAGGCGAAGCGCGAGGACTGAACTCGCCTGCTCGTGGCATATTGTGCACTTCGGATCTTTCTTATGCCAAACGAGTCGTCAGGTTAGGCGCAGATATTGAAGCCCTTCGGCGGAGGGTTTCATGCGGTCTAGGGCTTGGGCTGTCCAAGGTTTTGCCCTCTGAGCTCTTGTGGGGCCTGTTCGGTCCTTGGTCCAGCACGCCCTAATCCCTAAGACGGGCGAATCTGGATATCATGAGATAGAATGAGAACGACACAGAGAAGACTAGCATGGCCTCTGCGCAAAATCCGACACGCACAAATCGAGAAGTGTACCAAGAGTCCAAACCTCCAACCACAAACGACACTGTCAATGTCGGCCCTACAGGCGATAAAACTCTAAAGCACTGTAAGCTTGTTAAGGGTTTTGGGTCCCGAAGCTAGGGGGCCAGGACGAAGGTAGGCTCGTGTTTGCCTGCATAGAACACCCCAGGTGACAGAAAGCATCTATGAAATTGGAAACTACGGTTAGGATTTCTGGTGTTCGGAAAATTTGTCTTCCAAGGCTGAGTGATTCTATCGCAGCCCGCAGAGCACGCGACGGCCCAAAACCCGTTACCCTCGACCTAGGCCGCAATAGCCTAGCTTTATGATCATGACCGTAGAGGACTCTATGCGATTTAGGCCCCTGTACCTGTGAAGCACCGGCAGCGCCACAGCAGACGGCCTCCGGAACCGTGTCTTCGGGACCTGCTTGCAGCCCTGATGGGGCTACAGGATTATCCTGCTTGTGTTCTTCAAGCCATTTTTGATGACAATGTGCATGACATGGGATATATGCCCATAAGCCACAACAGGGATGCTGAAGGCTAGTCGATTGCGGGTGTCCTTGCTGTGGCGAGTACCGCCACGCGTCCCGGCTGCCTCAAAGCCAGGCGTCGAGGAGCCAGTGCCGAAGCGCAAGAAAAGATGGTGAGCTGGATCCTTCACCCTGTTTGGCAAGCATGATGGCTGCGATGATGAGTCGACTGTGATGTCCCGCGCTCAGCCTTTCTTTGATTCTGCTGCCGCTACGGTTCAAGCCTGGGCAGCCCAACCTTGGGCTTTGGGATCCTCCGGCTTGCTTCCCGGCCCCGGAAATATCTTCTCTCAACTTGCACTCGCACCTTCCAGGATGTGGTGGCGCCGACCTCAGACAAGAAGGCTTCAGCAGGTGCAGTTTTTTCCACGCATGAGAGCAGCACACGTCTGTAGTTTTGTAAGCCTTTCGATCCAAGACATGCCCTGCACTGTTCTGTGGTGTCTGTGCAAATTCGGCTGGCGCATCGCAGTCGGCTTCTCTTCGGAAAGGTATGGACCTTCGCCATACCATGGCTTCGGCCACGCACGAAGCCCAGTGCTTTGCGGGGCGTCGGGTTGACTCAGCACTGAAGAGCGCCGGATTTCGATGTCACTGTCGGTCGCGGAGCGTGGAACTCCGAAGCATCGATTTGTGCCTTGGACACTCGCCGGCTTGCTTTTTGAGGATTGGTGGGGTCCGCCTCGATACTATCGAGACCGATACGACCGCGATCAGAAATGGGACCGGGAGCAGGACAAGGATAAAGAGGCATGTCGGCCTTGCCGAGCAGCTGCCGAGCAGCTGCCAGGCCGCCGCCCGCCGGGATGTCTACCTCGGGCAGCTGCGCCTTCTGCAAACGGCTTCGGAATTTGTCGCCCCTCCCCCTGACTTTGAGCCCGTGCGACGCCGCGGAAACTCGAAGAGGGAATGGGGTTTCAGCATTCACAACTGGGACAAGCCTGGCGAGGGAATGGGGTTTAAGGTTTAGGGTTTACATAGGGGGACATCGGAACTTTGTTTAGCGCAGGAACACGCGCCATATGCCATATGCAGGCCCCCTACATACGTAGTTCCAGTTAGTTAGGGGGTTGTGGCATCGGAGCGGTACCCATGCTTCGAGAGTTGCACCTGTGCCCAAGGTCCAAAGGCTTAGAGGAAAAGAAAACTTGCCTTCAGTGACGGCAGCAACTTCTGGCTCATCACCCACCACACCGGCCTGGCCTTGCCACACGCGTCGAAGCTGCCCAACGTCTTCGAGGCGAAGCCTTATAAACCTACACCCAAACCCAAGCCAGCACGATCCAACACACTGGCCCCACATCCTTTCATAAACTTACAGCCTTCCACGTTTATTAGGGAACCCCTCAAACCCTATTGAAATTATTAAGGCCACGACAGTAGGGTCTTAAGATGTCTTAGGTTTAAGGGTTTCGGGATAGAGTTGTTCTAAGGAGTCTTGTAGGCCACATAAGCGTATTCGTATGGTTTCATCGGGTGCTACGTGGTGGAAAGGCAACCCTGCAAGCTCCTTATAAACACACATAGAACCCCAATCAAAACCCCGATGAAATCCCGATAAGCAGCCTTCAAGCCCTTAAACACCACAACCCAAAGCCCTAAACCTTCAACCCTAGACCCTAAACCCTGATAGAACTCCCGATGAGAGCGCAAAACCTCCGAAGCCCCGATCTCAGGTGGACGTTTGCCTGGTGTCTGCTCCCGGGTTGACTGTGGAGGAGGCCGGAGGTCACGGATGCAAGGTTGGGTTTGGGGTTTAGGGTTTGGGGTTTAGGGTTTAGGGTTTGGAGTTTAGGGTTTAGTGGCCGAAAGACCTACGTTTTTAGGCTTCCTTATTCTGGTTTCTGTATAAAAGAGTAGGTCTTTTCGGCCACAGGTTGGGTTTAGGGAGTCGGGATGTAGGCTTTGGGAGTGTGGAGGTTTAGGGCTTGGGGCTTAGGGCTTAGATTTTTGCGTTTTGGCTTTAGGGTTCGGGGTTGGGGCTGAAGGGTTTTCCCCTCTGGGGCCCTAAACTCTACATCCCTAAACCCTATAAACCAATAAACCCTAAATCCCTAAATCCCTAAATCCCTAAATCCCTAAACCCTAAACCCTAGTGCTTTCCCCTTTGGGGCTTTGGGCCCCTAGGGTTTCGGGTCCAGGGTCTGCTACAAGGGTTTGTAGGGATGTAGGGTTCAGGCTTGGAAGTCCAGGAGTTTCAGGCGGTTAGGGGGTGTAATAAGGTTTGGGGTTTAGGGTTTAGGATTTTTGTTTTTTTCTGCGTTTTGGGGTTTCGGTGGTTTACGGTGTGAGGGCTTACGGGTTTAGGCTTAGGGATATCCGGCAAGTATGGTGGGAGGGAAGGTTCGGAGGCCCCTCTGGTACACAGAAACCTTCCCCCGAGCTTGGCGACTTGAAACCTGCCCCAGGCCCGAATATAAAGCCCGAGCCTTCGCAGCCCTAGGCCCGAAAACCGAATACAACCCCTCTGAGCTCTAAAACCTTCACAAAACCGTCATAAAAAAGCATGCAGCAGAAGGAATAACAGCCATGAGCAAACGTTGAAGCCTCAGAATTCCCATCAACAGGGTAATGGTTTGGGGTGATAGCCTCCAAGCCCACAGCGGGCGGGAATGTCAACGAACCACTAAACAGTTCTTGTGGTGACGTTGCAGGTTACAACCCTAGACGCGGATACGCCGCGCCCCCCCACCCCCCTCCACACCCCTGGGCGTGCTGGGCACGAATATCCTATACAGACATTATCACTGCTGCGCGGCGAGATACACGAAAACCCAAAATCTACTCCTGAATCTTTCGCTCCCACTCCTTCTGAAGGCATGGGCAGAGCTGGAATACACGGAGGCGCCAGCCGTGGAAGGCCTCGAGAAGGCCTCAATACCTGTCAGAGAGGGCTTCGTGTTGTTTGGGGTTCATCAGGTTTGTAAAGCTCTTATATATATATATATATATAATATTATGTGTATATATATACATATTTATTCATGTATATTTATTTTTTGTTCATTTATTTACTTATTTATGCTTGCTTATTTGTTCATACACACGTATTTACAGTGAGTTATGAGGGCTTTAATGTGGAAGCCAGCTGGTAAGTTTGTGGAAGAGACCATGGTTTCAGGAGATTATGTATTATGTACGACCGAGATCGGCATCACTAGTAAGACTGCCCCTGGAAAACCCTTTCATACTTGGGCTATCCTATGTCTTATTAGGGAGACGCTGTAAAGAGGACCCTTCTTACGGACCTTATTGAGAGGGTCTATATATCCCCAAGAGTTCCCCTAATCCTAACTCCCAGTCTATGGTCTAAGACGCTCGAACTGTTAAGCCCTCCCAAGCTACCTCTAGGAAGCCTCAGGCCTATAATGCAGGGGCCTTAATGATTAGAATGGGGTTTTGGGGGTTCCTTATTAGAACCCCCACGCCCTAATTATGCTTATTAAGGCCCGTACATTAACTGCCAACTTGTATCCGAAGGGATGTTCCCAAGCCTAACCCTATACCCCGACGTCCTGGACCCCAAGAGCATGTTCCGGAGGAACTCTTTGGACAGCACCCAGAGATAGAGAACAAGTTATGATGATCGCGGAATACCTTGTGCAGCATGCTGGGACTATTGTTGTAGACTTCCTTATTCTTTTTGACCTGAAGCCGAAAGTTTCAGAACCCACCTGGACCCTCAAGAACCTACCTTTTTAGGGCTCCTTACTATGATTTCTTTCTAGAAGTCCTTAAAAGGGTAGGTTATTCGGGGTTAAGGCAAGGCATGAACTTGAAAAACCCATGTCGACAGTATGCAAAAATCTGTGAACCCTATAATGCCCCGCACACCCTACAGTCAACAGCCTAGGGCCTGGAACCCTTAAGACCCTACGCACGCCCTACACCGCCAAACGCCTGACACCGCACTCTCCCAAGGACCGGTTTACGCCCTACACCCTAGTAGTGGAAAGCGGCACCAGCCCATTCCCCGAAACCCGACTGTCGACAAGTCCAAGACCCTAAAGGGTTGGGAACCCGAAGCCCTAAACCCTAAACCCAAAAGAGTAAGGTTTAGGGTTATTGGTACATCCTTGTGACTCCACACCTTGGAAACTGATCCAAGGCCCAGAGAGGCTTCGCTGCAGAGCCTTAAGCGGCCAGCAACGGCCGGAATTGAACAGCATCCAAAAACCTAAGTCTGAGGCCCTTGACAGCACTACCAAAGAGCACGTGGAACACAGATGTGGATAAGGCTAAACCTGAAAACTTATGAACGGCTGTAAGCCCTAATCCCTAAGCCCGAATGCCCCAGGCCCGAAGCCAAGAAGCTTCAACCTTTTGAAAGGATTCAGTGATCCACTCCTGCTCCTACGACCCGGGTCCAGTTCAAGTGCTCCGGCCAACATGGGTTCGACGTACCCCGTCGTCAGCGTCCCCTTACAACCAAAATGAGGGCGGTTCAGGGTTTAGGGTTTGGGGCAAAAGCCCCAAAGTGCTCAAGCCAAAGCCCCAAGCCGCAGTAGGCTTTTGTGCTTACGGTTCCAGTAGTGCCTGCGTGGCACCCCTTTGGGCAGCCCTTTATTATTTTGGGCTGTCAATGTACAGCTTTATCGTAGGTCAGTATGATGTTCTGCAAGACTAGGCCGATCGTTTAACGTATCTGCTTTTGATTGAAGGTCCTTGTCATGGGACCCGGTGCAGAGCCGGGTCCAATGTCCTAACAAGGACAACCCTGGTCGACATCAGTGTTGCTGCTGATACTGCTATTACTAGTACTATTACTGTTACTACTACTACTACTACTACTACTACGACTACTACTACTACTACTACGACAACGACGACGACGACGACGACTACTACTACTACTACTACTCCTACTACTAAACCCTACTACTACTACTCCTACTCCTACTCCTGCTCCTACTCCTACTACTTTTTGTTAACTACAAAAAATCT